TTTGAATGCAGGGAAAAGAAGGCCGGTATACCCACATCCTACCTGCCGTTGAAATGAAAGCCTCCTTATTGAAAGTCCCTCTCATAAAGTTAACACTGGCATGCCCATGGCCCTATTCAGAATACAGTCTCAGCACTCGGTCCACTGATAATCGTGGACTGTAGCACAGACATACTACATCACTAAGTTGTGATCGAGTTTTGAAACGGGCCCCGGTTATATACTGAGTCAAAAAAGAAACTTCACATTCTTTCTTCAGGGCACTATAAAAGAACAAGAGATGGTAAGATGGTTAAATTGTTATTATTTCATTGCTGAGATCTGTATGATGTACTCGATACACTGACAGTGCCATAAACAGTTCCATTAGGCTACACCGCCGTTCCAAAACATGGGTATACAGAATGTCAAGTCACAAGAATAAAAATGCGAAATTTCTCAGTTCAATATCGTGTATGGCCGCCCCGCGCATTCACCACTGCCAAACACCGTCTCCTCATCGACTGCCTGATGCTTGTGAACACGTGGTTGGGGATTCTGCGCCATTGTTCCTGCAAATTCTGAGGTTGGTTCCTAAGACCACGAAGCCTTCTCCAAATTTGCATCCCAAACGTGCTCTATTGGATTAAGGTCAGGGGACCTCGATGGCCAGTCCATGACGTTGATTCTAGCGTTTTGAAGGAAATTTCGTGTCAACATCGCGGTATGGGGCCGAGCATTATCATGCTGGAACTGTAGACCTGGGCCATGAGCCGCCATGAAAGAAACGAGTTCAGGGGTGAGCCCCTGGTCGCGGTAAGCAGCAGCTGTCAGGTTTCCACGGATGACCAGAAGTCGGGAACGGTTGTTCCTACAGAAAGCACCCCACACCATGCAACTTACGCTCCCGAATCTGTCGACTTTCTGTACACAACATTGGGCATACCGTTCACGACGTCGTCTCCAGACTCTATGCCTGCCGTCCGCGAATCTGAGGGTAAACCTGGATTCATCACTAAAGACGACTCGATTCCAGTCTCTCTGGGTCCATCGGAGGTGACGTTGGGCCCACAGCAGACGTTGACGTTGATGAAACGGCGTCAATATTGGCCCACGATATGGACGTCGAGAATGGAGATTGGCAGCCCGCAACCGATTTCGAATGGTCTGTGAGGACAGTCGACCTCTAAACATCTCAGCCCTGGTTCGTGTAGCCGGCAGAAATCTGTCACGTAGGTGACGTAGGACGATTTGACGGTCTTCTGCTCGTGACGTCACACGTGGACGACCCGACCTTGGGCTATCAGAAGTGGTGCTAGTTTGTTGTAGACGACCTCGCAAGTCATACACAGTACGACGGCTGCATCCCATTGCTCTTGCGACGTCAATAACTGATCTTCCCGCTTGCAACATGTTCACGTTGCACATTTGACAATCGTGGCATTTCAAGTACCGTTAGAACTGTGGTTTAAAAGTGTTTTTTCAATTCTTGAGGCCAATGCAAACTCGTGCATATGAAGAAAACTTGCGAAGATCACGTGATCGACTGCACGTGCAAAACCTGATTTGGCACTAACGTCATTTGCACGAATGGATGGGTTTGAGTGGGTTTTGCTAACGGTTTTTTCTAGAGTCGAAAGATAGGGATCCCATTTCGGATACATAGATGTATCATCAGAGAAAAATTATTCATTATTTTTCAAATTACATTTTGTGAAGTTTCTTTTTTTGACTCAGTATATATTACCGTGCCATTAGATTGACTCATTCATCTACTCTTTTCAAGTCGGGATCCAAAACATTCACATTCATAAAGGACACAACACGTCGTCGGGGACACCGTTGTCAACTCCACCTTGAATGTTTGTTTATAATGCATTTATTGCCATCTTTCGGCACCAACACAGATAATCAAATGCCACTTGTCTGAGACAAAAATATACAAACATGTTTTAACTTACTGTGTTCAGTGCCATCCTTCCTTACGTTCACATATAACGCTTCGCTGTCCGAAAGCGACCAGTGTACCCCCTCCTGGGTTGTCATCCTTTGCTGGTCAGTATCTGACCCACTGATATTTCCAGTTATCGCACTCATTTTCACTACCGTGCAATTTCACCTTCACAAAATAAAACCTTGTTACGTAGATGAGTCACAAACAGCCGACCTCAGTAACCTGAATAAGGAATCCACTTGTTCAGCCGTTGTTAATGTACAAAGCAAACGAGACTTCAGTGTGTTTATGTTAGAGAAAATCCGCCACTCTTAATCCATTGCAATTGTAAATAACTATTAGACCTTGACATGAAGCATATTATTTGCACACAAGCCATCGTAAATAGCTTTGCCAACCTTTTTATTTGCCATGCCATAAGGAGCAACAGTTCGTTATAAAAAGGCACTAGCTTGTCTTCAAACAGGCACAGATACTTCTCCTTCTGTGGGAATTATATAGCAGATTTGCACCATACCACTTAAACAGTACGGCACCATTTCAGAGACAAGGTAACATCGGCTACCACGGTGTTGTTAATTGGTATGATTCCAGTGTCTCATTGTCTACCCACAAACCGGTATGTTCAGTTAAAACATGTACACAATATCAAACGACAACGTGTATAATAAGGACATCTTTTGTATCCGTTCTATAAATACATACACCGCACACATACGCAGTTGGATTAGTAAGAAATCGCCTACCACACTGAGTCACGTGTTTCAAAGAATACGCACATCAACATACGAATACAAAGCTGGAAACATTTCTAACCCCGTGTATGCTGAACACGGGTAAGTTTGTATGTGCGATGTATTGCTATTCTATCACATTCACACATCGTTGAATGGGACATTGAGCAACCTCCATACAAACATATTTCTGCCAAGACGTAATGGACTTCAGGCGCAGGTTTTCCCCATTCACGTTGTTGATCACTGTAAAATTGAATACCTAAGGCTGATTTGCTTATTATAGACCATATCCAGCAAAGTTCCTGTATTTGTATTTTGGTATCATGTATGTAACTGTTCTGTGAGTGAGAGTGAGTATGGTTTTACGCAGCTTTTACGCAGAATAATCGTGTCCGCTCTTTAGTATTAAGGCAGAGATATCGTGAAATCGAGAATGTCCCTTACGGTATCCCTTACAAATTCATTATCCCTATGTTCCCAGTGTTAGTGAGTAAGTGAGTTTAGTTTTACGCCGCTTTTAGCAATATTCCAGCAATATCACCAGAAATGGGCTTCACACATGGTACCCATGTGGAGAATCGAACCCGGAATTTCAGCGCGACGAGCCGACGCCTTAACCACTAGGCTACTCCATCGCCCCCAGCGACTAAAGTTATGTCTGGTCTGACATACCCGTTGTGGGGTAATTTTATTGTAATGTTTGTGTCTGTACCGGACGTAAACATACCAAAATGAACTCAGTGGAACAAAAATTGTTTTATTGATCACAGTAAACGTTTTATCTGAGACAGATTGGTATCGTTGTCAAATACAAATCGTTCAGACAGAGATCAAATCGTTCAGACAGAGACTCACTTCATAGGTGAGTTTGGTTAAGGCCACTTTAAGCAGAATATCAGTCACATCACTACGTTTTCCTGCTTTCATCAAAGTAATAAACATCAATGATAACTTCAGGTTTTTCTCGAACTAATACCTTACCCACTTACATAAGAAAAAACAAAACAATTAAATAGTTTGGCAGCAGTCACGTGACAGAAGTGGACTGACTTGGACTGGTTGTTTCCTACAGTGGTCGGTCCGACTAAGATCCCTCGATTATATCCCCGGTAATGACACCACACCCCACCCAATACTCCCGACAACAATGGTTAAATCAGTCATTGTACACATTGCCTGATTCTAGACATTGGCTGTAACATATACATTTAGAAATATATAAATCGTTTGAAATCATATTTGACAATTTGATGGTGTTCATTTCAACTATTGAGTATTTGTAACTGATAATACCACTAAGATATTTATTGTATATAGTACAAGAAAACTGGTTAACGTCAGCATTAAAATTATATTGAAATTATGTACGTCGTTCTCATAGAAACGATAGCCCCTATATTGGTATTGGTATCACTAGAATCACTCACTATATGTTATGAATATATATGGTTACATCGAAGATGAATTTCTCCACTAACTGGGGGGAACCAACTGCAAAATTTATATTGATGAATTGCACAGGTATCATGGATCAAATTAGTGAAAAGCATTTGCAAATATCGCGCATTTGAACAGCTGCGTTTTGGTGTAAAGTTTTGTTAAGAATTCGCCAATTTTCACTGAGTTTCATCATTTATTAAACTCATGACAATAATCTTTTCAACGTTACGAATTCGTTTTACAATACATCAGCTCATGTGAAAACAGTACCTTCAAACAGTATGGAATATTATGCAAAATCTAGTTTAGAACAGTTGACTGAAGTAAGTGGCTACATTACACTGGTAAGTCTAAACTATTCATGGGTAGTATATAACGCTTGAATGCTGACCAAGAAATACACATTGCACATTGACGTTTAGGCAAGTCTGGTTACAATAAATACCATGAACAAACAAAATAATTTATGAAACCAATGGGATGATGTAAACTGATTTAACATGTAACTGAAATAAGGTGTATGAATGTGAAACAAATACATGGTGTATGCCATGAAACGGATTACAGTGTTTTAGTAAGTACAATTAATAGTTCATTTCGGAGTCCTATCCGGGATTCGAACCTAACAGAGTGAGGCAATTGGTGCTGGCCATTAGGTGTTTCTCTATGAGATCTTCGCTTTGATCCCGGATGCTTCTCCATCCAAAGTATTCCTAGTATTTGTACTTTATTGAGAAAGTGTAATTCCAAATAAAACTCACGGGCGAAAGAAACGTCACCTCGCTTTCTTAACATGTCACAAAACAACAAACTCAGATTTTGAAAATTTAACAATCATCTTTGGAAAATTAATGGATCTGCAACATTCTGAATGATGAAAGTGTGAACTACATATATGAATAATCACTTAGTGTACGATAAAAGATATACAAAAATCATTTTGGTGACGTTTCTTTCGCCCGTGAGTTTATGTTAACCTAATAAAGTTAATCAATGATTCAACCAGAGACAGACATGTCAGATTTCAAATAAAGATATATCAAAATATTCCGTTTAAGAAAATAGTAACGAAGGCCTTCTATTCATGTTAGTCTTTCAAAGATCCCAAAGAGAAAGGTCGTTGTGCCCTAGCAACTTAAATGTTCACTTGGGTCCAGGATAAACCAGACATTTGAGTGTCCCCAGTAGACCCGAAGATGACTGCCAGTTGTCGCATGATAGGCCAGACTGTTACGTGTGTGAAGGTGGAGTTGACAAAGCAGCTGAAAGACATTCGTACATTTAACAGTTGTACCAGTCTACAGTGGGAGTCGTCGGCATCTACTGTGTAACAGTATATCACCTTCTGTCTTTATGCAGTATTTGTTCTATCGTGATTCAACAGTGTTTAGCCCAGTATCCCGGTTTTACCTTCTAGTCTGCTATTTCACAATCCATCCAGCACTGACATAAGCCATAAGAAAAGATGGTTGCATACATGTAAAAACAGCTTTCCGAAAGATTCAGGAAACATCACAGTGAACTGATAAAATATTTTGTAAAAAAGGACTGAATGGAGTTTAAACGATACGGCTCTAACGTGGAAAATGTTCTCAAATATTCCCATCAAACATAAGGTTGACGTTTTTAAATTGCCCGGCAAAAGAAAGTAAACATTAGAAAACTGGATCTGTCTCCCAAAAGGTTACCAGCGTCATCAAACCGTCACTAGGCTGCAACAATCGCCGAAACAATGCAAAATGAAGGTCGAGTGTGTCAGTTTAGTTTAACGCCGCTTTTAGCAATATCCAGCAATATCACGGCGGGGGACACCACAAATGGGCTTCACACACTGTACCCATGTGGAGAATCGAACCCGGGTTTTCAGCGTGATGAGCGAACGCTTTAACCACTAGGCTACCCCACCGTCCCAAATGAAGGTGGAAATATGATATGACACCCGCATCAAGTACATAGCCATCGAATCGAAGTAAACATTAGAAAACTGGATTTTGCTAAAAACATAACCGTTACAAACGTCATGACACCGTCACCTGGCTGAAACAGAAGATGGGACAGTTCCATTCAAACATACTCAAATATCTAGAAGCACATGCACTTATCCGCAACATTTCAATTTCCGATATATTGCAAGTTGACACAAATCATACTTTTCGCGTAGTGTTAACACGACCACGTCAGAAAGTCCCACCACGCTTCTCAACCCGAGACATCTCCAACGACTCTGTAGGCGACATGTGGAACCGATTTGTAAGGAAGTCAGCAGTGACCATGCCTCCCAAGCCTTTGAAGGTAGCCGATGGGAGACCTTCCTTGTAGGCCTGCTCCAGCAGCATGTTGCTCACTGAGGGAAAGGCCTTGAGTTCCCCTCCCGGGGCGGTCATGTACCACCACTGGACGTTGGTCTGAATCGTTTCGGCTCGTTCCCGTGTCTGGTGCTTCGTATTTAGACCTTGGACATATTCCTGAGTCTTCCTCTTCGCTGCCATGACGTCTTCTCTGGAGCCGTGGAAGTGGACTATCCCGTTGCTCTTGTCTACCTGCGTCAGCACGTGCAGATCCGCGCAGACGGAGGTCACGCGTGGCACCTAAAACAATTAGCAATTGCATGGTGCAGAAAAACGATCATGACGAAACTTGGATTCGAACCTAAGGTTACGGTGAGTGAGTGGGCTTGGTTTAACACCTCTTGTTAAGAGTATTCCATTTGTATCATGGGTGTTATCTTCATGTGGGAGTAGCCTAGTGGTTAAAGTGTTAGGTCGTCACACCAAAGACCCGGGTTCGATTCCCCACATTGGGTTCATCATGTAGACCCCATTTTTGTGTCTCCCGTCGTAATTATGCATGAATATTGCTAAAAGCGACGTAAAAATATACTCATTCACTCACTCACTCACAAGACCTCGGTCATGCTGCGCACAATCCAAGAAACAAAACAAGCGCATGAACTAAATAGTTTTACGCCGCTTGTAGCAAAATTCTAGCAATATCACGGCGGGGGACACCGGAAATGGGCTTCATACATTGTACCCATGTGGAGAATCGAACCCGGGCCTTCGGCGTGACGAGCGAACGCTGTAACAACTAGGCTACCCCACTGCCCTTAAATATTTGAAGGTCCAAACACAACGAAGTGCTACGCCTCAGCTCACCTGGTCGTCAGGAAGAGTTTCAATGGCCGAACCAGTCTGTATATCTGACACAACATTGTTCAGCAAGATGACGGAGACAGTGTCCATGCAGTTGTCAAGGTGCTCTTTGGTCACGGCCAATAGACGCAGTCGCGGCAGTGGAAGCAGGCACGGATCATCCGACCTCATGGACTTACTTTGGTATCTTTGTGGTTTGGAGCCTACGAACAAAATAACGAAAAATCAAATGAACCAATTCTGAGAACACAACATAGAGTTTGTGAATGAGTTGGGTTTTACACGGCGTTTAACAATAGTCCAGCAATATCACGGTGGGGGGACACCTGAAATGGGTTTCACACATTCTAACCATGTGGGGTTTCCAACCAATAGCCGATACCTCAGACATCATATATAACAAAGAGCCATGCTTATATTAAGTGGGCGTACGTGAAAAGAACCCCTCAACAACCTCCACCCATTTATTCCACCTCAAACATTAGATATAACAAAAAGCCATGCTTATATTAAGTGAACGCACGTGAAAGCAACACCTTAACAACCTCCGTCCCTCCACCCATTTACACCAAACGATCAACTTATACATTAAATATAACAATGAGTCATACTTATATTAAGTGGGCGTACGTGAAAGCAACACCTGCACAACCTCCATCCCTCCATCAATTTACACCAAACGATCAACTTTACACCAAACGATCAACTTGGATATTAAATATAACAAAGAGTCATGATTATATTAAGTGGGCGTACGTGAAAGCAACACCTGCACAACCTCCATCCCTCCATCCATCTATCAAACACAAATGATGAAAAAGAAGATGGTTATATCAAATGGACGTACGTGAAGACAACTCATCTTCATGAGACAGCACAAAAGATTTTCTCATAGCTGGGCGACCAACGTTCTGTCGGAAAATGGAATCAAATGTGGACTTTTGTTCTGTGTTGTTGAGGAGGATCCGAACATCACTAAGGACCTTCAGGTTAGTCTTGTATCGCTTGATGGCCCTCTCCATGCCAGTGGCGAATACCTTAGCGTCGTCGTCTTGCTCTGTAAGAACAATTAGTGTTTATTATTCTATAAAACATTAGGTTGAATACATGGAATGTTTTCTAATAAATTAGCACGGTTGAAAGCATGCATACTATTGTTAGGTCCTCATACTCTTTGTCATACGCTTTGACTATGTCGCCAAAGCCATTGTCAAATAACCCTTGACGATCCGGGTTAGAATTGATCTTCAATAACCCATGCTTGTCGTGAGAGGCGACCAACGGGATTGGGTGGTCAGGCTCGTGGACTTGGTTTGCACATGTCATGACACATGACACACCAACAGCGTAGATCATGCTGTTGATCACTGGATTGTCTGGTCCTGATTCAATTTTTTGCAGACCGCCGCCATATAGCTGGCGGCGGTAAACAAGAAACAAACATTGTGATAGGTATAGCAATTGATTCTATGATTATACAGCTTGAATATTGCTGAGTGCGGCGTAAAACTAAACAGACTCACTCACTCACCCATTGTCAAATCCGTCTTCAATCAGTCGAAGATAAAGTTAGAAGTTGGAAGAGCATGAATACACGAAACGCTTTATGTATAGCAACTTCTTTTTATTCTTTATAGAAGTTCATCATGTGATGAAGGAGCAAGAAATAGCTCTGAAACGTTGTATTAAGAATAAAAAGAAGTGGCTGTGCGTAAAATGTGTTATCTATTCGAGCCGAAGATATAATAATATCGTTCATAATTTCAAAGATAAGATCTGCATATGTTTCAAAACATATTTCTGGTGTAGTATCTCATAGTAGTTTCTTCGTGTTTCGAACACTTCTGTTGGACTGCAAATTAGAACTGAAGGTATTTCACTCATAAGCAAGTGTTCAAATAGAGCGTGGTGTGCACCCCCTTTCTCAAAAGAGTGCACACACACACACACACACTCTCTCTCACACACACACACACACACACACACACACACACACACACACACACTCACATTTCTCAAAAAGCTGTATCCGCCCCTGCCAACTGACCATTGCCTCGTACGATCAACTGATCCTAGTGTAGCCAGGAATCCCCAGATGGTTGTGTGAGTGCGTGTGACGTGCGTGCATGCGTGCGTGCATGTGTGTCTGTGTGCACTAATATGCAAACGTTACAGGGAACTCGAATTGTCGATGCATATTGATGAACATGTTACCTGGAATAACATGGCCAATTGCGAGTGACATGATTTTCTCCTTTTCTGCCTTTCTGAAGCACTTTTTGATCACCTCCTCTACATTGTTCTTGAAATGTTCCGTAGACACAAGCATGACGTTCGTGCAGGACATATTTTGAGCAGGAACGACGACAGCTCCGGATTTTGTGATATTTGCCCCTGGATTAGAAAACGTTGACAAACTGATGCTATACACCCAAATTATGAAATATTGTAAGATATACGAACTTTTATCTTTTGTAAAAAAACCATTGTGCCCTGACAACGAGACTGCGAGCACCGAGACAAATAATCACGTTCGCACTTTAGCATGAAGATAGAGATGTCGCGAAAGCAAGAATGTCCCTTACGATGTTCCGTACAAATCCAATTAACCCTATGTTCCCAGTGTTAGTGAGTATGGTTTTACGCCGCTTTTATCAATATTGCAGCATTATCACAGCGGGGGACACTAGAAATGGGCTTTACACATTGTACCCACATGGGGAATCGAACCCGGGTCTTCGGCCTGACCGGAGAACGCTTTAACCACTAGGCTACCCCACGGCCCCTTTCCAGTGTTAACCGACATATGAACCAACATATCCAAATTTACGAATTATGTTTACAGACACTGTGAGGAGGTAAATCATACAATACATTACACTAACTTAACATCAAGATAGCGTATATCTTTACGGGGGAAAGTTTCCAGGCTTCGCAATATGGAAAAGAAAGAAGTATGTTGCACTCACTTACATTATATCAGCATATGATTCTTCATCTGCACATTAACTAACGGTATACAATAATACGCCAATGGTACCCACAGGCAATCATGTCTTTGCGATGATTGAAGATTTAACAAAAGGATTTTGAGATGACCCCCGACTCGAAATGCTTCACAGTACAATGCGTCATGACTTTTTCTAATATGAAGCATTTCGAGTACGGGATCATCTCAAATTTCCACAAAAAATTAAAAAATCTTTATTTCTCGCAAAGACACGATGGCCTGTGATTGTACCATTCAGTTCTAAATAGATCTTTTCTCCTAATGAAAATATAGAGTTTGGAGTCTAAGTCATTACTTGAACTCTAAAGGCGATACAATGGCAGAGAGAACTTACGGTCACTTCCAACCATACAGTCAGGCCCATACTCGGACTTCAAAAATGCCACTTGGCCTGAAACAAAAAGACAAACTGCCCTTTATATACATTAGTAGATAAAAACGGCTAAGAGAAATGAAAAATATATATAACATACAGGACCGCTAAGGGTTAAACCAGAACGTCGTAAGGTCCTGAGTGGGTGTGATGGGTTAGGTGATGCGATATGGGCTTTAACGTAGCACTTCAGATTATTTCGCTCATATGACAACATGTATGGGTGTGTATGTGTGGCTGCTTGTACTAGCCCAGACCTGAGCTTGATTTTTTAGTGCTAGCTCACCTAGATAAGTTTTTATTTGTCTACTACTGGTTGTATGAGAGAGGTTGGTTTGTTGGTTGTTTAGCGCCGGACTCAAAAAAATATTATATCGCGGTGGACTTAGAAAGCTACGGTAAAGTTATTAATATGCAATCGTTACAATTTACAGTAATTCCGTACTTCCTCTAATAAGCGCCGGTTATCTCACAGTGTCGTGCTGGGAAGGCTAAAATATATATTTCCGATGTCCCGGGAGAACTCCGGTGAAAACATTAGTGCCCGGGCGCTAAGTAGAGTAAATACGGTAGATAGTTTTTAACACTGCTGTGAACAGCCTTCAGACACATAGACAGGACGTGTCAGCTTAATGTGGGAGAAAAGCCTAGTGTGTTGCAGTTCTCCGACGTTTACGAAGATTCGAACCCAAGATCGCATAGGTTTGAGATTATATATGTTGGTTGGTTGGTTGGTTGTTGTTTAACGCCGCACTCAGCAGTATTCCAGCTGTATGACGGCGGTCTGTAAATAATCGAGTCTGGACCAGACAATCTAGTAATCAACAGCAGTAGCAAAGATTTAGCAAAGTAGCAAAGTAGCAAATATTTTATGGCGGCTGTCTCTAAATAATCGAGTCTGGATCAGCGATATGTTTTTTATTATATTATTTATACTCTCATTGGAAAAAGTCTGTTAACATGAAATTCTTCTGCCTCTGTAAATTTCCACGTAATACAATGTTGTCAGTCATTAGCAATTCGGAGCAGAAGTAACGGAAATGTTTATTCAACGGACTGTTATTTTAGTCACCTGCGACCGGATTAAAAGCATTGTTCTCATAGCAAGTTGATTGTTGGGACTGTTATTTTAGTCAGCTACAACCGGATTACAAAGAATTGTTCTAATAGCAAGTTGATTGTCGGGACTGTTATTTTAGTCAGCTACAACCGGATTACAAAGAATTGTTCTCATAGCAAGTTGATTGTTGGGACTGTTATTTTAGTCAGCTACAACCGGATTACAAAGAATTGTTCTCATAGCAAGTTGATTGTTGGGACTGTTATTTTAGTCAGCTACAACCGGATTACAAAAATTGAATTGTTCTCATAGCAAGTTGATTGTCTCATACAAGTTGATTGTTGGGACTGTTATTTTAGTCAGCTACAACCGGATTACAAAGAATTGTTCTCATAGCAAGTTGATTGTCGGGACTGTTATTTTAGTCAGCTACAACCGGATTACAAAGAATTGTTCTCATAGCAAGTTGATTGTCGGGACTGTTGTTTTAGTCAGCTACAACCGGATTACAAAGAATTGTTCTCATAGCAAGTTGATTGTTGGGACTGTTATTTTAGTCAGCTACAACCGGATTACAAAGAATTGTTCTCATAGCAAGTTGATTGTCGGGACTGTTATTTTAGTCAGCTACAACCGGATTACAAAGAATTGTTCTCATAGCAAGTTGATTGTTGGGACTGTTATTTTAGTCAGCTACAACCGGATTACAAAGAATTGTTCTCATAGCAAGTTGATTGTTGGGACTGTTATTTTAGTCAGCTACAACCGGATTACAAACAATTGTTCTCATAGCAAGTTGATTGTCGGGACTGTTGTTTTAGTCAGCTACGTCCGGATTACAAAGAATTGTTCTCATAGCAAGTTGATTGTCGGGACTGTTATTTTAGTTTCTAGTCCGTAATTGAGAGAGTCCGGATAAAGCACTCTTAAATGATAAATTAAAAACAATTTTGCCGGGACTCAGAGAGTAGTCCGGATTATGGAGAGAAGCGGATTACACAGAATCCGGATTTGACAGATTCCACTGTACTATGTCTGAAGCCCCCATGATATAATGCTGGAGCATTTCTGAAAACAAGAAAACCCGTGAAGATCCGGGTTAGAAAGGGTCTTCAGTAACTTGTAAGAGCCGACTAACGTGATCGGGTGGTCAGGCTCGCTGACTTGTTTGACACATATCATCGTATCCCAGTTGCGTAGATTGATGCTCATGCTGTTGATCACTGTATTGTCTGGTCCAGACTTGATTATTGACAGACAGCCGCCAGACAGTGCTGGAATATTGCTGAGTGCGGCGTAAAACAACACAGACCAAACAAAAAACAACCCCAACCAAAACAGGAAAAAACGTATTCATTTACTCTTCATTCATCTTTGCGAACTTCACTTACCACGCAGTGACACCTTGTTGTCAGTTGGCACCACGATTGTGTTCACTTTTTCCGTGTGCAGAGTTCCTACTTTCACCTCAATCCTGAGGGGGTCAATCCAAAATTCTACAAGACGAAAACATTCGGTCATAGTAACCGTTTGTGTCAACATGTCAATAGTTTGCATATAAACGGAAACAAAAAAGTACAAACTATTGTATTTGCCCGACTACAGTTACATCTTTACTGAACCTGGGTCCCACAAAGCGTTCGTAACGTTACGACCTGTCGTAACTATAGTTTATCGTAGGCTTAGGAATGTCGCCACGCTACGAACGCCTTGTGGAGCGGGACCAAAGTCTGTACAATCACACTGCAGATAACAAATATTTATAGGTATATTTATCAGTTGAAGCTGGTTTGATAACCAGGTATTAGTCTTTGTGCTGACTTGGTACCTTCACTGTTCGTCCTATCCATGGTCGTTGGTTCTCTGATCATACTCGGGTCGCTGTCGAACGCTTCATTGAAAGCCTGTAAAATAAACGTTAAACATGAGTGAGTATGGTTTTACGCCGCCTTTAGCAATATTCCAGCAATATCACGGTGGGGGACACCAGAAATGGGATTCACACATTGTACCCATGTGGGGAATCGAACCTAGTTTTCAGTGAGACGAGCAAACGCTTTAACCTTCAGGCTACCCCACCGCCCTATAAACATTAACTCCATCATGCATTTAAGTGACGTCGGCGTAGGTTTCAGGGTTCCAATCCACACAGCGTTCGTAGCACTACGTCATTCGTAATCCTATGATAAACTGTATAGTTGCGATGGCTCGTGACGCTAGGAACGCTTGGATCGGGAACCAGATGCTGTTACTATCCGCTGTTACTATCCGCTAAGAACCTGACTTGAGGTGACATTTGCGATTACATTGTCATTGTGTTAAAACACAGCGTCCATATTTGTGTCAGATCTATCTAATCCTCAAACATCATGACAGAAAATGATACTAACTGAGGCAAAAAAAAGAAACTTCACAAAATGTAATTTGAAAAATAATGAATAATTTTTCTCTGATGATACATCTATGTATCCGAAATGGAATCCCTATCTTTCGACTCTAGGAAAACGTTAGCAAAACCCACTGAAACCCATCCATTCCTCGTGCAAATGACGTTATTGCCAAATCAGGTTTTGCACGTGCAGTCGATCACGTGATCTTCGCATCGAAGTTTTCTTCATATGCACGTGTTTGCATTGGCCTCAAGAATTGAAAAAAACACTTTTAAACCACAGTTCTAACGGTACTTGAAATGCCACGATTGTCAAACGTGCAACGTGAACGTGCCGTTGGCATGTTGCAAGCGGGAAGATCAGTTATTGACGTACTGTGTATGACTTGCGAGGTCGTCTACAACAAACTGGCACCACTTCTGATCGCCCAAGGTCGGGTCGTCCACGTGTGACGTCACGAGCAGAAGACCGTCAAATCGTCCTACGTCACCTACGTTACATATTTCTGCCGGCTACACGAACCAGGGCTGAGATGTTTAGAGGTCGACTGTCCTCACAGACCATTCGAAATCGGTTGCGGGCTGCCAATCTCCATTCTCGACGTCCATATCGTGGGCCAATTAACGCCGTTTCATCAACGTCAACGTCTGCTGTGGGCCCAACGTCACCTCCGATGGACCCAGAGAGACTGAAATCGGGTCGTCTTTAGCGATGAATCCAGGTTTACCCTCAGATTCGCGGACGGCAGGCAAAGAGTCTGGAGACGACGTCGTGAACGGTATGCCCAATGTTGTGTACAGGAAGTCGACAGATTCGGAGGCGGAAGTTGCATGGTGTGGGGTGCTTTCTGTCGGAACAACCGTTCCCGACTTCTGGTCATCCGTGGAAACCTCACAGCTGCTGCTTACCGCGACCAGGTGCTCACCCCTGAACTCGTTCCTTTCATAGCGGCTCATGGCCCAGGTCTACAGTTCCAGCATGATAATGCTCGGCCGCATACCTCGATGTTGACACGAAATTTCCTTCAAAACGCTGGAATCAACGTCATGGACTGGCCATCGAGGTCCCCTGACCTTAATCCAATAGAGCACGTTTGGGATGCACTTGGGAGAAGGCTTCGTGGTCTTAGGAACCAACCTCAGAATTGGCAGGAACTTGGCGCTGCCTTGCAAGAGCAATGGCGCAGAATCCCCAACCACGTGTCAGGCAGTCGATGAGGAGACGGTGTTTGGCAGTGGTGAATGCGCGGGGCAGCCATACACGATATTGAACTGAGAAATTTCGCATTTTTATTCTTGTGACTTGACATTCTGTATACCCATGTTTTGGAACGGCGGTGTAGCCTAATGGAACTGTTTATGGCACTGTCAGTGTATCGAGTACATCACACAGATCTCAGCAATGAAAAAGTAACAATTTAACCATCTTACCATCTCTTGGTTTTTTTATAGTGCCCTTAAGAAAGAATGTGAAGTTTCTTTTTTGACAACGTATACATCGTAACCAAAGCAGAATGTTCTTTTACTTTCCGAATGGTAGCCTATAGGCTTCCCGCGAGACAATAAGGTCGAAGATGTACAGTGTCTTCATAGTTTTCTCATTCCGAAAATGACTTTGAGACTGTCGAAACACACAGTAATTTATCCTTTGACATTGAAAGTTATGTGAGTTTTTTATTTTATTATTTTTTCATTTTGCAACTTAATTCTTTTTGAACAAATTGTATTATCTTTCCAAACTAATATAAAAACTCCACTTGTCTCGAAAGAGGGGTAATTCGACACTGCAAGTTTATGATCCCTAGGGCTGTAGGAGTATATGTGTATCACTGCCCTGCTTATCTCGAACTACGAATTATAGTTATAATGGCCCAAGAATGACGATTTGACCAGCTTTGGCTGTATCACTTAGACGTGTAAAATATACAAACCTTTGTTGTTTTCTCATCCTTGTGATACAATACAATGATCACTTCCCTCAGACACGTCAGTGGGTTATCTGTGGAGAAAGCGGCTATTCTCTCTTTGAACACCCGGGCTACTGTCTCGGGTGGGTACTGTAGTATGCCGGTCCCGAGGGCCGGGAAAGCGATGGTCCCGTAGCCTCTGGAAGTTGCTCGTTGTAAACACGCGTCCACAGTCTTTATCAAAAACTGAAAGCAGAGGTTTAAAGCAACTGTTATGTTTCTACTAAGAATAATACTCTCCATTGGTGATTTCTTAGATCTTAATCAAATTCTTTCTTGATATTAAACAAATACAATCTCCTAAATCTTTCACAAATACCATCTCACACAACCCAGGTATTAATTTGCCTATGATCCAAATTCTGGAAGCAGATTCTATCAAATTATGCACTGTAGACTTCGATTAGGATGTAGTGATCTAAACTCGCACAAAGTTAATCGTTTTATATCTAATGACCCATCTTGGTCCTGTGGTGCATTTTGTGAAGATAATTTACACTATTTCTTCCTGTGTCCAAATTATGACAATTTAAGAAATGATATCCATTTTCATAGAAATGGATACAATCTCAAATCGGTACTATGTGGAAATATTCAATCATCGGAAATTTAAAATTTGCACATTGTTAATTCTGTTCATTGTTTTATCGAAAAATAGATAATAATAAATAAGTTTAAGAAGTAATGTACTGAAACACAATGTAATACATAACTGTAAACCTACTGTAAACCTTTATTTCATTCATCAGATTCAATGTCACTTAATTATTTACTGTTGAACTGTCATACATATGTACATAATCAATGCTGTTGTATTGGGGCGGCATTAAGATAAGCCTTTGGCTTGTTTGCCAATCATTTTCATTACTCATGATGAATAAAATTTGTTTAAATCATTTCAAAGATCTTTCTATTTTTACCGTGAGTACAGACTACACTGGCGTGTTTTGATTGTGACCCGTGTTAAAAAATGAAAGAAACTTTCAGTCATAAACAAGTTTCGAAGTGAAAGGATATTGATAACCACAGTGACTGTAACTGCTCAGTAGACAGATGTTCTGGGATACTGATTAGATCCTCACTGGTTACATAAGAAAAAAGTAATTTGTTAGCATCCTAATCAGGTATCGAACCCGAGTCTAAACACTGATTCCATCGGTGTATCCAAGTTCTTAAAGAATACTGAATATGAAGTGCACGTTTATATGTTTGAAAGAATGTACACTGATGTCCGCTTGCTGCGAAATAGTAACAATGAAATGCAAAATAAATATACATCTAAAAAGAAATATATGGCATGAAAGTTGTTTTTTATTTTTCCATACCAACTCGTCACCACAATCTCAGACATTGCCATGAGGTATAAACAATCCTTCAACAGTCGCAAAGATACCAACTTCAGAATTGCAAGTTCTTGTTGACAACTGACCATATTTTCGACTTAAGTCCTTTAAGATGGTTGAAATGGTGGACACTTTTCTGTAATAAGTGCTCCATTTTCCCTTCAGAAAGGTCCGCCAATTATTGTGTGTGGAGTTGTTTTTTTTTGAAACTGTAAAAAGAGTCCTCCCCATCCAATTTGCAATAATCATAAACGTAAAATGTAAACATTTTCAACTCATCTTTGTATTTCTGTATTGTACTGTATAGTAACGAGATAAAGAGTAAATACCGTTGTCTGCATTATACTTATCCGAAAAGCAATAATACTGGCATCTCTAACCATACTTTAAGTTATGTCAACGTCTAATTATGGTGTCGACAAATAAATATCTTACATACAACTTGTTGCTATTCGGACACGGACACACACGCACGCACGCACACATATATATATATCATCGTTACGATGTTACAGCAAACGGCCTGTTGACTACATCAGGTCATTACTGAGGGCCCACCTGTAAAGCATCGCTTGAATCCTGCCACTTTGGGAGGCATGTGTGGTACACCTTCTTGCAGCGTAGATTACCTCCCCCTGTGTCCACGACATCGCCGAATTTGATGCCCTTGCGGTAACGGCTGTTGCACTCGTTCTGTATGGTAGTGCCCCCCTTCTGTAGATATCGCCATGGAAACCGCTCCCTGGCTGAGTCTCAAGTCCTTGTTGGTCGTGTTCACTATGACATCTGCCTGTTCCATGAGAATACAGTACTCAGTTGCTATGCATAGTCTGTCTCGTAGCCCGTGAGTAACATCGGTGGTCAGGCTCGTTGACACATGTCATCGTATCCCAATTACGCAGATCAATGCTCATGCTGTTGATCACTGGATTGCCTGGTGACTCGATTATTTTCGGGTCAACCAAGTCAGCAGGCCTGACCACCCGATCCCGTTAGTCGCCTCTAAGGACAAGCATGGATTACTAAAGACCAATTCGAACCCGGATCTTCACGGGTACTTTCCCTCAGACATTAATTTTCGTGAAGGGATGCCTGAATCAGTCAGTATGCATTGACATTAAATCCTTATTGTTCTGTAGGGCGGAGAGGTAGCAGAGTGGTTAAAGCGTTCGCTCGTCACGCCGAAGACCAGGGTTCGATACAATGTGTTGAGCCCATTTTTTGGTGTCCCCCGCCGTGATTGCTCGAATATTGCTAAAAGCGGCGTAAAACTAAACTCACTCACTCACTTATTCTTCTGCATAGGGCTATATAGAGGATGAATAGATATGTGCCTGCCCAAGAGCGGTAGGTCGGTAGGTCGAATCCCGTCTGTGTGGTAACAAAATACATGGGACTTGCTGCTGCCCAACTAGGGAATACAACAATGACTGGTCAGCTGCAAAATATTAACTAATATTGTAAGTTTAACACACACCGAGTGAGTGAGTGAGTATAGGTTTACGCCGCTTTTAGCAATATTTCAGCAATATCACGGCGGGGGACACCAAGAACGGGCTTCACACATTGAACCCATTTGGGGAATCGATCCCGGGTCTTCGGGGCGACGATCCGACGCTTTAACCACTAAGCTACCCCACCGCCCCTTAACAGAGAGAACATACCATGGTTTTGGACAGCTCGCCGACTTTGACTGTAATCTCGACACCCGTGACATCTCCATCACCAACATCTGAATACAGACATCTACATAAGTCTCTAATATACTGATAAGTACGGGCTGTATACATAAACTGAAAGTATACACTTCAATCAATGTTGTATAGAAAGCTTCAAACATTCCCAAAACGTTAAAGTTGTACAGTAGACAGGTGGAGGAAATTTGACGCAGCAATAACAAATATAATACCATACGTTTTCAGCTGAACAATTGACTAGCCTTTGCGTGTGTGTATGATGCATGGGTGCCACCGATGGGGCAGAATACGCTGAACTGTACGCGAACACCTGATATCATCACTGTTTTGATAGAGATTCTTAAACGCATGCTTATGATGAGGTCGGAATTGTACCATGGCCAACATATACGATTGCTACTGTTTCACACGTGTGTTTTTGTGTAATTAAAGGGAGCGAAACTAACAATGGCACTCAATTAACGGAGTTGGGCAACCTTTTAGTGGAGATTTCTTGTGGGTGTGTATTATCGTTTATATTTATTGGCTGAAACATTACGGTGCCTAAACACAAGTATTATGCCTGTATTAAATACATTGCAATGTAATAACAGTACATGTATTTTGTATATTTCAATTTTAGCCGCCTCAAACACGAGCACGTTCTCATTTCGCGGTAGTGTATCGGGCCCGTAAGTAGGTCACGACACTTCCCGAGACCTTAGTACTTTCGGTGACAAACAACATTTCATATCCTTTCGAATGGTCTCATGGTTGTCAGTTGACTGTAAGGAACCAATAATCCTTGCAGGAATAACAAATTTCCGATCTAACTATCCCTAAATTAATCAACTGTCAGCTGTGACAGCCAAGCATGGTTGTACACTTGGTCCGGTTTCGTAAAGGTATATTTGGCGGCTGCGCAATTTAGAACCAGAACTGGTTCTTGAATGTACGCTTGTCACCGGAAATCTGGTACCGGAAGAGAGCGGGGTCCCAACTCGCATATCGCAAGCTGGCGTGCGCCAATTGAGCCGTGAATCAGCTTAGTACCGGAAGTAGCGCATCGCGAGACTTACAGACACTATAGTAACCCTCTCCTTGAGTCACGCGTACAAACATGTTATCCTTTCGAAACAAACAGAAATCTGGAGCAAATAAGTACACAGGCATGTCGAATCGAAATAGTATCATTTTGGTCATACCTTTCGACTGTTTAACTGTTCCAAGGAGCCTGTTGTTTCTCTCATTCTCAAATATCTGAAACCAACAAAATGTGTCGTTAAAACGTTTACACAAGATTTACAAATTATTTTGCACAATAACTAACGACAACTCCTTCAGTTTTATCATTGCACTTTGTACTGAAAACTTAAAACGTTCACTTCTACCAACTACTACTACTGCTGCTATTGTTACTATTACTAGTACCAGTAGTAGTAGTGGTAGTAGTTGTAGTGTTGTTGGTGGTGGTGGTGGTTGTAGTTGTAGTGGTCGTGGTGCTGGTAGTAGTAGAAGTGGTGGTGGTGCTGGTAGAAGTAGTAGAAGTAGTTGTGTAGTGGTGGCGGTGGTGGTAGTAGTAGTAGTAGAAGTGGTGGTGGTGGTGGTAGTAGTAGTAGTAGTAGTAGAAGTGGTGGTGGTAGTAGTAGTGGTGGTGGTGGTAGTAGTAGAAGTAGTGGTGTGGTGGTAGTAGTAGTGGTGGTGGTGGTAGTAGTAGAAGTGGTGGTGGTAGTAGTAGTAGTAGTGGTGTAGTAGTAGTAGTAGTAGTAGTAGTAGTAGTAGTAGTAGTAGTAGTAGCAGTTGTTGTTGTGGTAGATGTTATTGTGGTAGTAGTAATGATATTCGCGACAGTAGGATGTTTCTTTCTGCTTTAGTCTTACATTAAAATGTTAGCTCTGACATTATCGAGATATAACTTCACAGCAGTGTTAAGCCTAATCAATTATTCTTAATGTTCCACCACCAACTGCAATGTCTCCAAGACAGACAGTTTTGTCTCACTTGTACCTTATATATCTTTTCTTCTGTGCCGTAGACCAGGATATTTATTTCCTGTAAGCCACTCTTGGTTGTCCTTTCAAACAAGGAGAATGCATCGAACAGAGCTTTGGCAGCTAAATGAGGAGGGTATCCGAGCCGACCGCATCCCATCGCCGGGAACGCTATGCTAGTGTAGTTGGAGACGTTGGCCGTTTCAAGGCAAGACAAAACTGCTTTCTGGAAGACCTACAGGTACAAAAACACATTTGAAGAAGCATGTTGGTAGAGAGTCTCCTTGTCTAAACCTCCTATAGAAGAAAGTAGTGCATGCCTTTGTTGTGATAATGCAACTATACTCTTCAAATAAAATAGAAAATTGGACTCGTGTAGCTGCGGAAAAAACAATTCAAATATACTCTTTCTTTCCAAAACGTCATCTTTGAGTGAAAACGTCATCTTTGTAAACAGCGCCAAAACGTGGCAATTTTGACTTTTTCCCCTTGTTTCTAGAAGCGTTTGAAGAATTATTCGCCAAAACGTCACCATGAAAACATGCAAAGGAAACTGCACGTGCAAGTAAGCGGAAAAACATTCGTTATTGACCACTAAAAAAAGGCAAACGGTGTGTTTAAGTTTGTCATTCGTTTTTCCTGGAAAAGAGGAAATCATCCTGCCTCATCTGAATACCGCCAATCGAAACATCGACATGAAGCTGGGGAGTCGCAGTCTGCAATTGCCCGACAATTCAACGTTCATCAGAGCACCATATCTTGCCTTTGGCCTACTAAGAGTTACCACCCAAGTCCAGGACCGCAAAATCCGGGTGGCTCACTTGCGTCATGGTCTTGTCACAGCCGTGGAGACTGAACAACGCATCCCTGGTTTGAGAAGAATTTCCCACCAAACTGTCAGAAATCTATTGCATAAAGTGGGGATTCGACCAAGAAGGCCATTTGTCGCCCCTGTTTTGAGAGACTTCCATCGACGCAATCGCTTGTAGTGGTATCGTAAAGTCCGGAACTGGAACCTTAGAAACTGGAGTCTGGCTCAGTGATGAATCACGATTTCTTCTTCACCGGCGAGATTGACAACAGTGTGTCTACCGATGAACGTTTTGCCCCTAATTGCATTCGACAGGTCGACAGATTCGGTGGAGAAAGTCTCATGGTGTGAGGAGCGATATCCAGCGACAGAGGGAGTTGTTCCAGCATGACAACGCTACTTCACGTACAGCACGCGTCACGGTCCGCTACCTTGCCAATTCTTATGTCAATGTCTTGCCACGGCCTTCCCGATCACCAGATCTAAACCCGATACAACACCTATGGGATGAACATGATCGACGTGTACGCCAACGTCAAAACACGCCTTAGACACTTCCACAACTGGCCATCGCATTGCAGGAAGAGTGGGAAAGAATTCCACAAGAGCTCGTCGACTTAGCCAGTCTGTGCCGTGACGGTGCCGAGCAGTAATTGCTGCCAATGGTGGTCATACAAAGTATAGACTTCAAATGGATTCAAGTAAACAGAAACACAATGTTCAATACAGGCTGATGTTGTGTTGGCGAACTTTCTGTATATTTACTGTGCATTTTCACCTTTTTACCATTGAAATTAAATGAAATAATTGCTCTTAAACTAACGCAAATAAATGGCTTATACGTTTCTTTTTTCTTTCTTTTTTGAAGAGTGTATTTGGTATGAAACAGTAAGTGTTGTTATTCTACCAGCATGGTGGGTCTACCACTCACTGATAACAGGGATGACGGTGAATTGAGGCGCGGATTCACCTGGCTGTACGACTTTCATAAAACTCATCTCTTGCATTCCTAAGCTTTTCCGGAAACCATTGATTGCGGGTTGGAGTCGCCCTGAATCTATTCATGTCTAGATAACACTTCAACAAATTTGCAATCGTCTACAATCGACGTCAGTTTTTTTAATTCAATATACAACTGAAAGGACACCTTTGCCACATACTCATACATTGACGGGTTTGAAAACACGCGTTTCAAATACATAAATTGCAGTCCTTTTCTCTTGTATTTATCTCACCTAAGTCACATGTATTCATTCCATTCCACCCAACTCATTTGACCTGATCTCACCACATTCATTTCACCTCTTTTCACCTTAACTGCAAAATATGTTTTTAAGTGTACTATGCACATCTAAATAATTTGCATAGCAATGTGTACTATCCACATCTCAGTAACGTGTACCCAGGTGTATTATACGTAAATGAATAACTTGTATCCAGGTGTATTATGAACACATGAATAAGTTGTATCCAGATGTACTATCCACACATGAATAACTTGTATCCAGATGTATTATGAACACAGGAATAACTTGTATCCAGGTGCACTATCGACATGTGAATAACTTGTTTCCAGGTGTACTTTCCACACATGAATTAATTGTATCCAGGTGTATTATGAACACATGAATAACTTGCATCCAGGTGTATTATGAACACATGAATAACGTGTATCCAGGTGCACTATCCACACATAACTTACTTGTATCCAGGTGTATTATGAACACATGAATAACTTGTATCCAGGTGCACTGTCCACACATGAATAACTTGTATCCAGGTGTATTATAAACACATGAATAACTTGTATCCAGGTGTACTATCCACACATGAATAACTTGTATCCAGGTGTATTATGAACACATGAATAACGTGTATCCAGGTGCACTATCCACACATAACTTACTTGTATCCAGGTGTATTATGAACACATGAATAACTTGTATCCAGGTGCACTGTCCACACATGAATAACTTGTATCCAGGTGTATTATAAACACATGAATAACTTGTATCCAGGTGTACTATCCACACATGAATAACTTGTATCCAGGTGTATTATGAACACATGAATAACGTGTATCCAGGTGCACTATCCACACATAACTTACTTGTATCCAGGTGTATTATGAACACATGAATAACTTGTATCCAGGTGCACTGTCCACACATGAATAACTTGTATCCAGGTGTATTATGAAGATATGAATAACTTGTATCCAGGTGCACTTTCCACACATGAATAACTTGTATCCAGGTGTATCATGAACATATGAATAACTTGTATCCACGTGTATTATGAACACATGAATAACTTGTATCCAGGTGCACTATCCACACATGAATAAATTGTATCCAGGTGTATTATGAACACATGAATAACTTGTATCCAGGTGTATTAGGCTCACATAAATAACTTGTATCCAGGTGCACTATCCACACATGAATAACTTGTATCCAGGTGCACTTTCCACACATGAATAACTTGTATCCAGGTGTATTATGAACACATGAGTAACGTTTATCCACGTGTATTATGCACACATAAATAACTTGTATCCAGGTGCACTATCCACACATGAATAACTTGTATCAAGGTGTACTATCGACACATGAATAACTTGTATCCAGGTGCACTATCCACATGTGAATAACTTGTATCCACGTGTATTATGAACACGTGAATAACCTGTATCCAAAATGGAAATCCACACCTCAAATTGTGTTGCATATACTACGCACAGTTGGTAATATTATCTTTCTAGCGCCCGTTCCATGAAGCGACTTTTGCACTATCATAACTCCCAGACATTAATTTACGAAAGGTTAGAGAACCGTATGGATACTGTGAAACGTTTACAGTTTTCTGGTCAAAAGGACCAAACTCAGCTTACCTTAATGTTCCCCTTCACCGTGTCCCAGGCAGGAAGACAGCAATGGAAGACACTTTTGCACCTGAGATTTCCGCCTGACGTCACAGTAAGTTGCCCGTATGCCATGCCTTTAGAAACCTTCTTCTTGTATTCCTTCTGAAGGCCGGCCCCCGCCTCCTCCGATACTGCTTTGATTAGTGTTCCATCCTTATGTGTGGGGTTCTTACTGGCGGACGTCACGATCACATCCACCTGGACACAAATGACATAAGTAGAGGTTAGTTCTCGGAGCTGTATTAGCTAATACAAACATTAGCGACTTACGACTAAACCTACGACTGCCTAAGAGGCATTGTTAAGGTGTCTTAAACTTACCACGTCATAGTACCTACAACATCTATCTTAGTTGAGTTTTTTTCCCGAAAGAGGGAAAATAAGTTGGGTGTTTTTCAATTTGATCATCTTTAGGGTATTCCATACATTGCAATCCATGCATGCAACCTAAACATCCTAAACAGTTTGAACGGACATCTGCGTTCTACCATGGAGTCCAGTTACTCTGAAATTCCCTTTCCGGACCCAATGGTAAAGGTATATAAACGTAATATAGCAATAGTTATGTACTATAAACCTACACAAACTAAGCAATACCTACAGTTCAGTGTGTGTGTGTGTGTGTGTGTGCGTGCGTGCGTGCGTGCGTACGTGCATGCGTGTGCGTGTGTGTGTGTGTGTGTGTGTGTGCGTGCGTGTGTGCGCGTGGCACGCGCATCAAATCTCTAATTCCGTTTTCACCATATGTCAAAAATAGATATCATCAAATACCATCAAACAACAATCATGATCCTTTGGGCGTAAAGAGGTATGTTAACAATGAAACCAACAAACATTCAACAGCCGGTTCAGTCTTCAGCAACCAATGCTTGACGTTAGACACGACTAACGGGATCGGAGGATTTGTCGCTTTGAACAATATTTCGATTTTTCCAGTCTGCAAGATGTGGAAGGAATGTCGTAAAGGATGGGCGATTATGTTTATTCCTTTAAGACGGTGCTAAAATACTGAGAATCTGCAATTCGAACTCACGATATATGTCTGACTGTCCTAAAAAGTCATCCCGCAGGGCGAATCATGGCCCCTCGGTTGACTGGGTTAACCGTATCAGAGCAAATAAAAATAAAAATAATAATAATAGGCCATTTATATAGCGCCTTTCCACGTCAGATTATATTTTGCAGCAAGAACTGCGAAACGTACAACAGCACGGAATGTTAAAAGAATTTCACGCCCGTGAAGATCCGGTATTAGAATTGGTCTTCAGCAACCCATGCTTGTCTTAATGGCGAATAACAGGATCGGGTGGACAGGCTCGCTTACTTGGTTGACATCGTATCCCAATCGCGTAGCTCGATGTTCTTGCTGTTGATCACTGGATTGTTTGGTCCAGACTCGATTATTTACAGGCCGCCGACATATAGCGGGAATATTGCTGTGCGGCATGAAGCAGCAAACCAACCACCTGAAAGAACTGCATCATGTTCCACGTTGTAGCAGTGTGTGGATTGAAACCGAACCTGGAATCAAGTTACAAATACTCACAAGTTGTTTGGTGATATCCCCTTTGACAACTGTCACCTTGGCCTTCAAAACGTTTCCAATTTCCTCATTAGACCTTGAACCTAGAAAAAAACATGACCATGTCAGCTAATATCACATATTATTCGTGAAAATGTCAGCCTTGGATCCAATGATAATGTTTTTGCATGTAATCCGGGATATGTTGAACAAATGTGTTTGAGACAAGTACAACTAATTGGGGCAAAACCCATGTGGAGGGTGGAGGGGCGGGGTGGGGTGGGGTGGGGGTTGTTCGCATGTCATCATATATTTCTTTGTATGTTTGTTTGTTGTTCAACGTCAACCTCAGCAATGTTCCAGCTATACGATCGAGGTCTGTAAATAATCGAGTCTGAACCAGACAATCCAGTGATTGACATAATGGACATCGATCCACGCACTTAGGATACGATGACCCGCATCAACCAAATCAGTGAGCCTGACCACCCCACCCGGTTAGTCGTCTCTTTCGACAAGCATTGGTTGCTATAGACTACTTCTAACTCGCATCTTCACGGGTGTGGACATATTACTACATGTCGTCCGCCACCCGCTAACTCTTCGCAATGGTTCCCCAGTGCCATGGGGTTAATTGTCAGTCGCAGCTCAAGATGCTGGTCTGAGAGCTCCTCCCCCATGACCTACGGTTTACCAAAGTGAATATATATGAACGTGTATTTCATTTTGGGACTTTCTCCGAGATTAGGTTGAATTATTGGATTCGATTCTCAGGATAACCTTAGCTCGGATGTCAACAATCACTCACTCACTCAGTCGAATAACCATGATATGTGTCAGACAATTCACTCACACAGTTGAATAACGATATTTGTAAGACAATTCACTCTCTCTCTTTCTCTCTCTGTCTCTCTTTCGCTCTCTCTCTCTCTCTGATGAAAGATATGTTTAAGACAGCTTTACACAAAGATATCAAATATACTTACCTACAGGAGGCGTATCTTCCTCAATATCTATTACACAAGCATGTGCATCTTCAGCCACCTTCATCATGTTGTTCCCTGATGGGGACTTGAGGAATTCCACAGCACCCGGTTTATCCAAACTGGAATACTTCACGACAACGTCATCACTCAACGACTGCAACTCGCCTATGGCACTGCTGAGCTGTGATTTTGGTCCAACAACCTTCACCAAGAAAGAGGCATGATCAAAAGAAACATCCACCTCGTATTTGGCCTTAATAGTCTCAATGGAAGCAGAACAACAGCGGGTAATGGCAAGGAATATCCCTCTCTCGAAGATCAGTTTCCTCTCGTACATACTGCTTCTTTCAGCCGCTTCTTTCAACATCTTCATGACAGTCTCCTGAACCTCAGCAGCACAGGCCATAACGGCAGGTTCGTCTTCGTTTAATCTGTCGATGATAAACGGCTCTTTAACTCTCTGGTGTATGTCCTCGATGAGCGTCTTCCATTTTCCCCGTGTTAATATGTCCGTCTTCAGGTAGGTCACCTTCACCGACTCGATGATCGTTGTGGATGCAGCCGAGGCCGTCGCCGAATCGCCCGCGTGAATCCAAAGTTCGCCCGAGAGAACGTCGATCACTGCACGCAGATCCTTGCCCGCGAATTTGCCCCGAATGTAATTTTGGAATTCCACACGAGTGAACGCGAACAGCAAAATCTTATGCACGTTCGGGAGAGTCGAACTCCGAACCTTTTTAAGGGTTTCTTCAATTTTAATCCTTGCATTCATTATGTCTGTTCCTTTACCAGATATGGTAACCTTTCCACCTTCTGCGTTGATCTCTACAGTAAGACCCAGGTATTTATTTTCCAGAAAGACCGAACACTCGATGATCTGCAAATACTTGAACTGCCATGGTTTCAGTTCTGTAACGACTTGCTTCTGTTGAGCAACTGGAAGCATTTCTTTGTCTATGTCCCCTTCGACCTTCCGAACTAGTTCCGTGATGTTCTCAGCTACCTGATGTACATGCGTATGAGACCCAACCAGGGTAACCAGATCGTCGGACAGCGTAATACTCATTTCTTCTGGGTTAGGATTTTGTATTGGGAACTGGGAATTCTTTATTTTGGCACATGTCCTTGGCATAAGTGGAACCTTCAACACCAGGATGTCGTCAAGGAAACCCTTTATTGCTGACTCAGCACTTTCTCTCCACAACTGTACGTCTAGCTGAGATGAAATTCGCGGGCCTTCCTTTGTTTCCAGTGCAACAATGCGGTCGGCTGTTACGTTGGCCCACTGTATAGCTGCTCGGTGTTTCTTGAGGATATCTGTCAGCCTCTTCCTACAAGTATCGGACTGTTTAAGGTGGGATAGCTTATTGCTATCCTCGTTATGCATGACAAGCATAGTCACTGGTTCGTACTCTGTCGGGACATCTGCGTCTGCCTGGTGTTCATTTGTAACTGAAAATGGAGCATATGCTCAATAAATTTCTGCTTAATTTAAGTTGTTTGTTCGGTTGTTTTCTTTTGTTATTTAATGACGACTACATTCTATTTCAATCGAAGCTGGACCAGACAATCGGGTGATTGACTTTGCTAGCATCGATCTATGCAAACAGGATACGATGACATTCGCCAGAGCTGGTACGTTCAAGAAGGACAATCTTTATTGATAGACATCTTCTTTATTACAAGAGATGCGATGTTTCGGTGTGGATGTTAACATTGTTACCAAGCAAGTGTTATCATCACTTATCATTGTAAAGCTAATCGATGATCATTCTTTCACTTATAGTGAGCGAGTAAATGTTGCATGAAGCCGCATCAGGAATTTTGCAGCTATTGTCGCCTAGTAGGGGTGACTATTGAGGGTGAAACAACTATTGCGATAACGAGAGTCTATTGCGACCAACTATTGCAATACTATTGCAATAGCTTTTTCTCTCCTTGAATTGTCTCATTTGAAGTAATTTCCCAAATGAATATAAAGTTGATATGAAATACTAACAAGTTGAAGTAGTTTCAGTCTCTTTTAATGAATGACAAGAAACTTCAAACCCAGATCAAGTTTGTTTAAGAGGTAACAGAGGCGGGAAACTGTAACTCAAAGTGAACGAATCTGGTACTTCCTGTATTTTGCGCTGCGCATTTATCAACGAAAGTGAATTACTAAACTATCGATAGTCACACATACTTTCGATGCATCGATAGTTTTTCGTTTCTACCATCGATTATTTGCTATCGGAGACTCAACAATTGGAATCCATCGATAGTTCAATGTAACGTTACATCCCTAGCGGCTACTATGACTGTAAGGTGAAATCTATGCCTCATTATCGTTACCTGAATAAGGATTATACTGTGTTGTTCAAAGAAGCTAAATAGCTAGATTAATAAGGTATCCGAGGTTAAGCTAACATACATTTGGTTTGGACTATGTTTGGGAAAAACAAGCAGTTTCTTATGCAAAGCCTTTTAACACTGAATTTGTATAACGATGAAAGTATATTCATGAACAAGAAAGGAATTCAGAATAGCCCTAAAATGTATACCTATTTCTTATTTAAACTGAATTTCTGTGTTGAACCACATCTACATATTTTTGATAAATGTGTAGTCTCGCTGTGGTTCTCATAGAGTCCATATTGAAGTGGGCAGATATCAAAGATTCTGTAACCTCTGGTGCATGTCCTTTTCTCTTTGTTTATAAAATATATAATAGTCTTATAATATAATCTACATACAAGGAAAATACCATTTCCATCCTGCATTGAATATTATTAACATACTGATGCCAATATGCCATGATGAAATCATGAAAAAACATTCATTATATAAACTGACTTACAAAAGAAAGTACACACCTGGTGTCTTGGGATTATTTGAAAAGTGTTGTTATTTTGACTGGCAATGTCGCAATTGGGCACGATATCTATGGTATTTGGCAACATATTAGGAAAGTCTGTGACTTATACATGTATATCACTGTAAAAACTCTTTTGAAAACATTTATGCCACGTTTTGGAAAGTAATCCAAAAGCACCGTGTGTGTACTTTCTTTTGTTTGTCAGTTTACACCCCATGCACCAATACCAGGAGCTCTGTCATCTATGGACCTGAATACCTAAATGTACTATTGGCCGATGGTCTACAATGCGTAATAAATCACGAATTTTCGAATGAAATATTGATACAGCGCTCACCCTTTCGTTTGGCACCATGTCTTGGAGGAGGCAATGGGGGTGGCGTGTTTTGCTGGATCTTCTCACTGATCTGCGATATCCTCATGCTCTGCATCATGTTCTTCATATCTTCCCTGAAGCAGTCTTTGGGAAATGTATTAAGGGACCAATATGGGGATTCCTCATCCTGTTTGGGTTCCTTGCGCATATCCACTTCTTCTTCTTCTTCTTCACCACTAATTCGTTCATAAACAGTGTGAGGCTTTTCAGGCGATAGTTCTTTTTCCGTTACGAAGCTTAGTATGGCTCTACGGAATACATCTACAGCAATCGTATCTGTCTCAGGTTCTGTTTCAGAACGGTCAGTATCTGCTGCCTCCGCCATCATAGTCGAGCTTTTTTTCTGTCAAATTTTGTTAAAAACAAATGTCGTAAATTTTGTACGCAGTATTAATTAGATTGAGAAGACAACAAAACAACAAATGCCCTATCGACCCCTCTTTCATATATATAGGTAACAGCAAAATGTGTCTTTATGAAGAAGGAGGATTCGAGTGTTCATAGACGATTCATATTGTCGGGCCAGGAGAATAATACCATTATCAATACCACTATTATAATATGATAATACCACTATTCAACCCATAAACTATATGGACTTAGCTCGAAGGGTTGCAGATTGGTATCTTCCCATAAGACAGGCCTCCCAAAAGACAGACCGCTTAAAACAATACATTTTATGTTTGGTCGCATAAGGCTTAATTAAGCTGTACCCTGCAGATTATCACTAAGGGATTATCTGGAGAGAAAATCGTGGATCCCTAACAAGCAACAGTTGTCATACGGCTTGACTGAAAGCTGATCTGAACGTCATTGTTCCCTGACAGCGTGAGACGTTGTTTGTCGCCTGCAGACTTCACTCTAATCATTTATTCATACATACCTATAACTCGAACACATGCCAGATATTCCCCACCCTGAACAGTTCGGGAGATATATACCAGTCAGTGCTGTATGTAAGATACTGGCGAACCCAGGCACTATGTAAGATAATTACCATCAGTGTTGTATGTAAGATACCGGCCAACCCAGGCACTATGCAAGATAATTACCATCAGTGTTGTATGTAAGATACTGGCGAACCCAGGCACGATGTAAGATAATTACCATCAGTGCTGTATGTAAGATACTGGCGAAACCAGGCACGATGTAAGATAATTACCATCAGTGTTGTATGCAAGATACTGGCCACCCCGGCATGATGTAAGATAATTACCATCCAATGTTGTATGTAAGATACTGGCCAACCCAGCACGATGTAAGATGATAACCATCATATGTAAAGTCATTACCATGCCGAATAATTACCATCCAATGTTGTATGTAAGATACTGGCCAACCCAGACACTTTGTAAAGTAATTACCATCAGTGTTGTATGTAAGATTGAAAATGTGAGTCACTGCGTACACAATGTAATACACTAACAAACCGGAACTGTAAATTACATAGAAAAACGAACTGTCAAGTATGCGCCACACCGATATGTACGTCAGATAAAACCAGAACGGTATGTAAGATACTCACCAACCCGAACTGTATTGAGAACACTCACCAACCCGATCTGTATACAAGATACCCACCAACCCGATCTGTGTGTAAGATACTCACCAACCCGAACTGTATAGAGAACACTCACCAACCCGAACTGTATACAGAACACTCACCAACCCGATCTGTATATAAGATACCAACCAACCCGATCTGTGTGTAAGATACTCACCAACCCGAACTGTATAGAGAACACTCACCAACCCGATCTGTATATAAGATACCCACCAACCCGATCTGTGTGTAAGATACTCACCAACCCGAACTGTACAGAGAACACTCACCAACCCGATCTGTATATAAGATACCCACCAACCCGATCTGTGTGTAAGATACTCACCAACCCGAACTGTATAGAGAACACTCACCAACCCGATCCGTATATAAGATACCCACCAACCCGATCTGTGTGTATACTCGCCAACCCGAACTGTATGGAGAAAACTCACCAACCCGATCTGTAAATACGATACTCGCCAACCCGATCTGTGTGTAAGATACTCACCAACCCGAACTGTATAGAAAACACTCACTATTTACCCAACGCTGTTATCTAAATTTAGACGCAGTGAAATAAAACCTCGACTTTTCACCGCACAGAAGCAATCCCTCATTCGCGCTTTAAAGCAGTACAACGAAACAATAACATCGCTTACCGAAAATCCCAGTAGCTAAACAGCTATGACAGTGGACCACAATGAAATCCCCATCATGACGACTGCACAGTACAAAGTTCAGTAGCCATTGATCAATGAGGGTTTAGAAAGCGGTACTTACACAGTCCCAATGTCTTCAAATAGCTTTGAATGTTCGCATGAAGTCATATAGTGAATATGCTAGAACTACAGCCATGAATCGCGGACACTTCCTGTACAATTACTGAAAACAGTATCTCACCTCTCTCCCACGTAACACTGTATCACTGTATGAGAGTTGTAATCTACATAGTCAACTTGTAGATATATATGTCAACGAGCAACTGCATGCCCCGTGACTTCAATGACAATGACAGCTGATACACTTCCTGGTTACCACCTGCTCCGTCTCGGTGACTATTAACTATATATTGGGCAAACCAGAGCCCGAAATAGATACTGCGTTCTGTTGAACAGGTTTTCATTGTAGGATAATTAATATCAACCATGCTTGCTGTCCCTAATATCTACATGGATAACAGTTGACATATGACATTAAACATACAAGGCTGAGAGACAGGTATTTCTTGGTCAAAATTAATACGTTATTGAGTGTTTATTTACATCTGGCTAGCTATTCTCGAAACGGTCGTAGCCCTACGAACTTCTGAAGCCCATTATTAACATATTGGCTACGTTCAAAGTAGAGAATTCTTAGGGCTACGAACGTTTCGTTAGTCTGCTCAAGAGATTTGCAGCTGTGGATCAGTGGTGATTTTCGTCAAGTATCTACGTCTAGCACGTCTAATGTTTACGTCTGGCATCTATGTCTTGGATCTTTGTCTGGCATTTCTGACTATTATTTACAGTTGTCCAGCATCTTCTCAAAGCATCCATGTCTAACTTCTATGTCGGACATTAAAACCTGGCATTTACCTCTAGCCCTGTCTTCATTCACGACCAGCATCTCCGATTGATATACTGAGAGAATCATATGAAGGAACACAGGAAAATTCAAGCGTTCCTTTAATGCTTTCCAGTTTTTATCACCAGCTTTGAATAGCGCTGTGGGAGGAAATCTGATAATAAATATAGGAACACTGCCATGAAGTGGCGTTCCCTTATTCGATTCCCTCAGTATATTTACTTACAGCATCTATGTCTACGATATTCGCCCTATATCTGTTTCTAGCCTCAACGGCTAGAATCCCTGCCCAGAATCAACTTCTAGCATCTGCGCCCCAATAATCTTCACTCAAGTAGCTTAAGAGTGAGTGAGTGCGGTCCTTCGTTTGACTTTTTCTTTTTTCTTCTTTTTTGGGGGGGTGGTGGCGGTTTGGTGGGGGTGCACAGCTTTATGTTAAACAGCAATGCGGCGTTGTTTAATGCGCAAAAACGTTAAAAGGCTTCGTGAATGTTTGCCCACTTATTAGAGAAAACACGGTACGTTGTTTTTAACACTGTTGTGAACAGCCTTCTGACACATAGATATGACGTGTCAGCTTAGTGTGGGAGTAAAGCCTAGTGTGTTGCAGTTCTCCGACGTTTACGAAGATTCGAACCCAAGATCGCATAGGTTTGTGGGTATATATGTTGGTTGGTTGGTTGGTTGGTTGTTTAACGCCGCACTCAGCAGTATTCCAGCTGTATGACGGCGGTATGTAAATAATCAAGTCTGGACCAGACAATCTAGTGATCAACAGCAGTAGCAAAGATTTAGCATCGATCTACGCAACTGGGATACGATGGCATGTCTCAACCAAGTCAGCGAGTCTGACCGCCCGATCCCGTTGGTCGCCTCTTACAACAGTCATGGGTTACTGAAGACCAGTTCTAACCCGGATCTTCTCGGGTTATATGTGTATGTGCGCACTGGAAACTCCCAACCAGGACAAACATACATCCTTTTCGCTAGACATGACTGACTGAGTTTGGTCTTACGCCGCTTTTAGCAATATTCCAGCAACATCACGGCAGGGGACACCAGAAATGGGCTTCACACATTGTACCCATGTGGGGATTCGAACCCGGGTCTTCGGGGTGACGAGCCAACGCTTAACCACCAGGCTACCCCCGCTAGACTTGAACAGGAATCATAACAACAAGACCAACATACGTAAAACTCGACATTGCAGAGCTGTCCTTTTTCACCGTGTGTGTGCGTTTGTGCGTGTGCGTGCGCCTGTGTGTGCAGCTTCATTGTGACACGTTAAGAAATATATATATAATTCTTATATCATATATCAGATAGATAGATGGTAGATGGATAGATAGATTGATAGATGGATGAATGGATGGATGATGGCCAGATGGATGGATGGATGGATAGATGGAAATATAGATAGCCGATTGAATACAATCAATCACGAAACTATTTTAACGTGTGTCACAGATACTGAAACCAGCAGGGAACAATTACTATCTGACAGTTGAAGGTCGTGTAGATATGCCGAGATATTCAAGTGCAACACATGTCAGGCCACGTCGCACATACTCTACCCACTTCAACGAGGAATAGTGAGTGAGTTTCGTTTTTCGCGGCATTCAGCAATATTTCAGCTATATGGCGGCGGTCTGTAAATAAAAGGAGGGCGGGGAGGGGTGTTATTGATTTTTTACATAACATGCAGGGGGGTCATCTATTTTCTACATAAATCTTAGGGGGAGGCATTCATATTGTACATGCTTCTCCATAAATATCATTATCACCCCCACCCCCCAGCCATAAATTATGAACGGTGCCTTATATCACAATTTTAATTATCTTACCTTTACATGTGTTTGTAAGGTCTGTCTCCTGTGTCGCGGGATATGCTCAGTTTTCAGCAAACAGTTGGAATTATCTCTATTTGATAGTAAATCATTAACGCAAAATTATGATATAGTCATAGCTTTGCTTCAGGGTGTGGACGACAGACTAGGGGTAGGACTGAAATCCTAGAAACTGAAGCTGCCAAACACCGTCACCCATCCGAGGACTGTCCGCGACTACCGTTGATTAACTTCAACTGATTGTGACCTGAGCTCTACGCACAGGACCACACACCGCCACAACAATCAGAGAGAGAGAGAGAGAGAGAGAGAGAGAGAGAGAGAGAGAGAGAGAGAGAGAGAGGGAGGAGGGAGAGAGGAGGAAAGAGAGAGAGAGAGGGAGGAGAGAGAGAGAGGGGAGGGAGGGAAAGAGAGAGAGAGAGCTTATACTTCTCTTCAAAAGTTTAGACTCACATGTATCATTCGCTATATCTCAAAGGTTAATAGTACATGTGACAAAGATGGATTTTTAACAATACCAACTTGAAGCATTTCATAACAACATTAACTTGAATTGTATCGACATGGATCTGGCATCCAGAAAATAAAGACAATTCCAGCATTGTTAATGCAAGTTGAGCTACGTTTTGGGGATGAAATTTTCAACAACAAAACCCCCAAAAGCCATTGCGTTTACTATTAACACGGTAAAACTGGACAAAGTTTTACCAATATTTATGACAGTATATATTATTTAAAACTGGACATGTACAGATTAACTGACCACGTTTCACAATCTTCAAGCTGCCAAGGGTCACATTGATAATGAACATCCGAAACCAGTATCTGGTCCGGGTCTGCAGATAACAATAAGCTAATCAAATGCACTGTGAACTTCACCCATCAACACCGATGTCTTCAATACGTTTATGAAAATTATCATATAATCCGGTCAAGATAGAGTAGCTTAAGTGCGCAGTTGGCACCGTATCGTCAGTCGAGTTAGGCAATAGGATTTAGATATAGCAACTGAAGTTCACAACAACAACTTTATCGTCAGTGTATCAGTAAATGGGATTATCTATGATAACTGGAATAGGTATAAAACAGGGACGACACACAGTCACAAATCGTTCAGTGACTGCTGTGTAATAAACTCCTTGTTTATTTACTCAGGTAAGAAACTTTACTTTCTGCTACTTTGACATATATATCATTGTTATTCTATGTTAACTTTAATCTATTGTAAATACCTTAACTATAAGTTACAACCCTGGCAGTACCTTCAGGTTTATGTGGAACGAGGCATCCCTTAGTATGTGTCTCATATCTTCTGTATTGCAGCTTAGGTTTGTTTATTTAATACTGATTGACACTACACTGTTTTGTGACTATTATAGAATGTATAGAGAGTGTGGGATATTTTAACTATTGTATTACGTTGTGAATACTATATGCTGTTTGGGACCGTTACAGAATGTAGATTGTATGAACCCCCACTGGGGTGATGTGTAGTGTACTGAACTATTGCTGTGTACATTGGAATATGTATCGCGATTAATGTAGTATGTGTCGTGTATAACGAATCTACATGTGATGTTTATGTACTTTGATATCTGATTGCATTGTGAACATGTTCTAATAATTAATTGTAAACTATGCTATTATTGACTGATAATGTAAGATCGTTCAGTGACTGCTGTGTAATAAACTCCTTGTTTATTTACTCAGGTGTTGTGTTGTGTGTGGGTTGGTATGGGCAGACCTCTTGCCAAGCGAGCTGATTCCCCAAAACTCGCGTTTTAATAATACCTTTGCAAGCTTAATCAGTAAAAGATGGGAACATCACGACTTATTCCGTTAAGATAACATGGCTTAACTTTTTCATACTTTTTCTATAGTGAGGTGTATATATCGATTCAACAAAACACCCAGGGACGTAAGACATGCGGGTTTTACATCGCCTCAGCAGCTTTGAATTCAGCCAAATATTTTATGGGTGCTTTTTCAAATTTCAGTTGCTCACTCAGTTTTCGATTAGTTTGGTTTGATTGTTGTTTTACGCCGCACTCAGCAATATTCCAGCTATATGGCGGGGTCTGTAAATAAACCAGTAATCAACAGCATGAGCATCACTCTATGCAATTGGGATACAATGACAAGTCAGCCAAGTCAGCGAGCCTGACCACCCGATCCCGTTAGTCGTCTCTTACAAGCATAGGTAACTGAAGACCAATTTTAACCTGGAGCTTCACGATTGCGTAACCTGTAGACAAATGGTATAAATACAACATAGCCATGCCTTACAAGGAGAAATATGTATTTATTTCACAGACATTTCATCAACTTTAAACACAGTAACAAATAATTGTAAGGCAATCCCCATGTAACAAAAAGATAACACCCCAATTATTCATTCAAATACATGCTGCGTTTTTAAAATTAACTGTTGAATCCAGTAGGCCGCAATTACACAATCTTTGCCACTTTCAGCTAAGAAGTTGGTTTAGGTGCCTTTGTTTTGTGTCCTTTGAACTGTACGTTTCCTCAATGCAGACAGACTGACCCGATTAACATCAAGCGAGGTACAGCTACAT